TATGCAGCACATATTTAGACTGAGAGGGGCAAATGGTAGCTGCTCAGTGAGCATAGGCTCTTGCCACCCAGGGTCTTCAGTCATGCAAAGGGTGCCAGTCCCTTCCCTTTGCTCTTGGTCCTCATCTCGTATCTTTCCCAGCAACAACTGTGTTGTTGTGTCCCCCCCCCCGCCAGATTGTGACTGCTCTGGGAGTGTCTAGATCTTGTCATTTTGATCTCACCCCTTCTGCAGGGTCTAGCATGAAGCAGGTGTTCAGGAGATAATAGATTGACTGGTGGCTAATTCCTCCTTAAGTCCATATGACTTATCTTTGTTTACAAAACATACCCTGCAAACTTTGGTTTGACTTTCTAACAATCTCGAGGGGTTTATTTCTAAGGGAAAAGTGAAAAGTAAGAACAGTTTTATTCTGCTCTATCGTACAATTTCAGCACGAAGTATGCAGAGATGTTGCAGTTGATTAAGTCAGGTAGGAGCAGGAGAGCTGGGGGCATAATGAGTTGCAGCGAAGCCTCTTCATGAATGAACGAGTGTGGCTTTTATCGTTAACACAGTGTGAGAGAAAATCACAACCTCTTGAAAAGGACCTGCTATTGCACAACTTAAGGAAAATCTTAATGTCTCTTAAACATTAAGTGGAAATCTACTTAATTTTCAGGGAACAACAGTCTTTTGTCAATAAATAGAAATCTGTTCATCAGAAGTCTAGGAGTGATGACTCACTCCTATAACACAGGAAGGCAGAAGCAGTACCATCTTTTAAAGTTTGAGGCCAGCCTAGGCTACATAGTAAGTTTTGGCTAGCCAGAGCTATGTGACAAAATCATGTCTCTAAACAAACAAACAAACAAAAAAACAAACAAACAAACAAATTGGGGGTGAAGAGATAGCTTATGGTTAAAAGCTCTTGGATTTTGCTCTTGCAGAGGACCTGGTATGGATTCCTAACACCCACAATGTGGTTCACATGGTGATGTAACTTCTGTAAGTCCTGCTCTAGGGGATCCGACACTCTCTTCTGACTTCTGTAGGCGTTAGGCACTCACATGGCTCATGTACATATGTGCAGGCAAAACATTCATACACATGCAGTAAATAAATATATTTTTAGAAAACCCAAACCAAAACAACATATCAAAGATCCTCTCTTCTTATCATTGTACTAAAAATTGTGAACATTTATTGAAAATGCTCTTTAGATCTTTAGTTTGTTTGTGGTTTCCTTTCAGAAATCTACAGACAATTCATGAAAATGTTTCTAAACTACTGTTTGCATACATGGTAATGATCAGGCTGGAAGACCAATTCTTGGCAGCCTTGGGCTGTTCATTGCAATTATATAATAACAATGGTAGCAAAGCAATTAACAGACTGTAGGCTATGATGTACAGCGTGTTACATTATAAACACATCGTAAAAATGGAGCTGTGTGGTTTTCTTTTTGAGTCTGGCTTCTCCATATTTCAGAATCCGAATGATTCAGAACAGAGCCAGAGGTCTAGATAAATTCAGAATTACCTTTGAGCTCCATGGAAAGGAAATCGGATACAGATGAGCTTCCTCCATAATTGCTTGCACTGAGCAGTGTGAAGACACATGGCAGTGGCCTTGGCTTCTGCTTTTTAAAAAATAAAAAAATATGGAGGCAGAGAAAAAACTTTTCTTGGAAAACCAGGTTTTGATAAATGAGTTCTTCAGTGACATTTACTCTGCATGGTCTCCACCAAATATTGTGGTCAGATATTAAAGTGGATTGGCCCTGAGCATAAAGCAGGGAGGACTTGATACAAGGGCTTCCTGAAGGATATAGCCAGGGAATAGCAGATGGTTTACTGCCATCCGAAGAATTTCTGAGGACTCCCTTGAATGAAGAGATGTGTTGAGGCTTACCCTTGATAAGATAGTGCTGGTTGGTAGTTTTTGGCCATGTATTCTAGCATTTTAATATGTTGTCATCTGCACCCACTACATGTGGTGTGTGTGTGTGTGTGTGTGTGTGTGTGTGTGTGTCACCATTAGGGAACTGTAGGGGCTTGGCTTCTACCCTGATACCTGAGGTGCAGAGTCATTGGTGGGAGCAATGAGAGGTATGGTGGTTTGATCTCTGAACCTTGGAGATTATGAGCTGTCTGCTCAAGACTAGATGGGAGGCCAGGTAGAAGCCATTGGACCAGCTTCTGAACTCTCTATCAGGTGTGTTTAATCCATGACCTGTGGGCCATGCGTGGCCTAGGATAGCTATATTAGTGACCCAGCACAAAATCATATCATATAATCTGAGGTGTTATATTGTGACTTTTCTTTTCATAAACTTGATTGTGAGATTCTTTATAGTCGACAGCACCATGCATGTCGAAAGACTGGACACGTCTGGTGGATGGAGGATGACAGTGATTTGGAGAAAGGTAGCCAATAGGAAGTAAAGGAATGGGTAGGTCTAAAGGAAGAATAAAGAGTTGTTAATGGGTGTGATGGAATGTGGAAGAAAGGGTTTGGTGTGGCTTTGTCAGTTAGAGCTGGACAGCTGTGAGGACGGAGTTTTGGTGGCTGAGGAGGAGTGGGGGTAGGAACTGAGTAGAGTGTTCGTCACCATCCTGGTACTCCTCCCTGATGGACCCTGAATCCTCCTGAGCCTGGGCTTTCTTCACAGTTGCCCTGTAACCTTTGGTCTCACCTCAGGCACACACGTGTGTGTGAGCAGATACACACACATGCAAGGTCTTACTACATAGTCCTGGCCAACCTGGAACTCACTATATAGAACCAGACTGATCTTGAACTCATAGAGATCCACTTGCCTCTGCCTCCCAAGTCCTAGAATTAAAGATGTGTGCCACCACACTCAGGATCTCTTAGGGGCTTGGCTGAGCTTCCCACCCTGAGTGTGTCTTTGGAAAGTGGTCATGGAAAGGTGACAGGCTAGTGCCTAGTAAGACCCCTCAGTCAGCTGGGATCCAGGTAGAGGTCGGAAGGGTCTGAGCTATGACACTTAGTTCCCTACAATTGGACCTTTGGTAGTGGCAGTTAATCTTAATATTGATGACTGGCACCTTCATGAAGGGAAGTTAATTAGAAGTCTTTATAGTCAGAATACAAAATGTGAGCCATTGTAAACATCTCAGAAGGATACTTGTTTAAATTTTCTGGACGAGTTTGTTCTGAATTGGATTGTTTCTTCTCTAACTATTAAGTACCACTTAGCAGTGAGCTTTCCCACCCTGCTGTTTCTTTCCCTATTGCATGACTTGTGCTTGCATCAAGGATTTTATCAGCACAACCTAAGTTGCTTAATTTATTGGTACAAATTTATTTATAATATTTCCTTGTTGTGCTTTTAATATTTTTATGCTCTGCAGTGATGCCGTTTGTCATTTCTGAATCTGGTAATGCCTATCTTCTTTTTCTTTTGCCTGTCTATGTCTCCTGGTCTGCTTCAGTATTTCTATCCAATTTTTGTTATGCTACCCTTAGTTTAAGAATATTTGGGGAGATCCCACAGATATTTTGCTGTTAAGTTAGAATTTAATTCTTTTTGGTCAGAACACACACTTTAGATAAATGCTTTTAAGTGTATTGAGAATTGTTGTATGACCTAGAATTTGGGCTGGCTTGGTAAATGTTGGAGGATGGAATATTCTATAAATAACAGACCAGTTGGATCCATAGTGTTATTCATGTGTTCTATATTATTATTAATTTTCTGTTTGTGTATTTTATTAAAGAGAAATATTTACATCTCTGACTCTACTTATGATCTCTCCCTCTTTGTCATCCTAACTGCTTTGCTTTGTGTATTTTAATTTTTTTTTTTTTTTTTTGGTTTTTCGAGACAGGGTTTCTCTGTAGTTTTGGAGCCTGTCCTGGAACTAGCTCTTGTAGACCAGGCTGGTCTCGAACTCACAGAGATCCGCCTGCCTCTGCTTCCCAAGTGCTGGGATTAAAGGCGTGCGCCACCACTGCCCGGCTAAATATTTTTTAAATACATAGTGAGATACATTGATGTTCAAGACTATGATGTCTTTGTCAGGGAACTAACTGACCCTGTATTATGAAAGAGCTTTCTCCATCCATGCTTTTACTCTCTGTTCTGAAATTTCTTTCTCTGATGCTAGCAGACTGGTCCAGCTTTCTTGTGACTTGGGTTATGCACATCTTCCAATTTAAACAGTGCATTTGTGGGTAGCTCAGCGTTGACTCAACTTCTGAATCGGCCTGACAGCCTCTGTGTTTTAATGGGGACTCTGGGACCACTCTCACTTACTGTCACTATTGACATGGTTGGTACGGAGCCTCCATCCTTTCTGTCTGGTCTGCCTCTTCTTTTCCTTTCCCTCCCTCTTTTCCTCCTTCGCTCTTTCCTCTTTTCATTGTTGGATTATTTTTATGGCTCCATTTTCTTCCTTCTTATGGCTTATTAGACATGACTTCTATTTTTGTGTATTGGAGGTTTCCTAAAGGCCTGTTACAGACATGTCTACCTGGTATATGTCAGGTTGGGCGTTTGGAGAATGAACAAATGAAGCACTGAGTACCTTGTGCCCTAGCAAATGATTGCTGACAGTCAGTGACACCGTGATTGTCCTGTGCTGTCATTTCTGCACATTGGCTTTAATCTCTAGCTATGGCATTAGTCTCCTAAGTGAGGGCCCTGCGGACCCTCCTTCCTGGACCACCAGTGTGTTGGTGTATAGGGTCCTTGTCCTTCTTATTTGTTGTTGTTGTTTATTTTTATGTTGAGAGAGCATAGACCCCTCTCCCCATGGAAGAGAGATACTGTGACCTTGACTTCCTGTTGTTGAACCCCCCAAATAACAGTATTACCAAGAAGAACAGACACGTCATCATCTAAGTTTATCTCACTTGATCCACGCAAAGCCACATTTTCCCATTCTTGGAATGTCATGGTTTTTTCAGGGCTCTTGATTTTTTTTTAAGTATTGGACTTCCTGGTTATAAAAGAAAAACTTATGCTTTTGTTTTCTTTTCTTCTTTTCCAGCAAGTCACTGGCCGAAGTTTTGGTGATAAAGACTTCCGGACAGGGCTAGAAAATGGGATCCTTCTTTGCGAGTAAGTAGCACTTGTGTTCCCTTGGCTTATTTTAGGAATGCCCTTGATATTATTGTTTCTCTGTAAAATTTCCAGTGGAAGATTTTTTTCTTTTTATTTATTTACTTTTTTTTTTTTAAAGATAGGGCCTCATGTCTCATCTTGTAAATCTGGCTGGCTTAATACTCACCATATAGACCAGGATGCCCTTGTACTCACAGAAACCTGCCTGACTCTGCCTCCTGGATCTGGTCTCTAGTCTTTCTTATTTTTGACTGAGTCATAGTTTGAATCTGTGTGCTTTAGGAGAAACCACTGGAATAGGCAGGGGACGTACATGGAGAAAGAGTCTCCATATACAAAGGGCGTGGTGGGGACCATAGTCTTAAATTAGATGGAGAAACAGAACCCACAGGTAGGATGCAGTTCCCAATAATTTCAGCCCCAGTAGTTGCAAGGATGTGGGGCTGACTGAGCTACAAGGGGACACAGTGTTTTTGGACACTCAGGGCATCTTAACAGCAGGCCAGGATATGTTCTCACTAGTCCTACTGTGTGCAGGGCTTGGGTACATTGAACTTGCGTTGTTGATAGAGTTCCAGAGTAGATAGTCATGGCAGTGTCTGCTCTATTTTGGAGCAAGTCTCTGTCATAGAGCAGTTCTGTGAGTGTAGAGTTAGGAGCTTTCTAGAAAGTGTCTTTAGTCATAAAATAATCTAGAGTATTAATATTTACAGATGTATATGAGTTTAAACTTTTAACCAAGACTTCAAATTTTGAATGTATTCAATAGACTATAATTTCGGCACTGGTTTCTGTTTTAGTGAAGGGTAGTCTTATATCAGCTTGACACAAGCTAGAGTTACCTGAAAGGAAGGAGCCTCCATTGAGAAAATGCCTCCATAAGATCCAGCTGCAAGGCAGTTTTTAAATTAGTGATAGATATGAAAGGGCCCAGTTCACTGTGGGTGGGGCCATCCCTGGGCTGTCAGTCTCGGTTCTATAAGAAATCAGACTGATCAAGCCGTGGGGAGCAAGTCAGTAAGCAGCACTCCTCCGTGGCCTCTGCATCAGCTCCTGCCTCCAGGTTCCTACTCTATTTGAGTACCTGCCCGAACCTCCTTCTGTGGTGAACAGTGATGTGAAAGTGTGTGTCAGACAAACCCTTTCTTCCCCAGCTTGCTTTTCGTCATGGTGTTTCATCATAGCAATGGCAACCCTAACTAAGACCTGAAATTGGCACACTGTTCCTAAAAGTGCAATCTGAGGGTTTGATGGACATGCACAAGCCCGTTCTACACCCCCACCAAGCTATAACATAGAAATTTTCCCCTTAGTATTTCCCACCGAATCCCAGCTCCCTCGTGACTGCCCTGTCCCGAGCTTCCCCTCATCACAGCATGCTTTGACCTCTTCTTGAGCATTAGGTAAATTAAATCACATATGGCGGGCTCTTATTTTGGTGACTTTCAGAATATTGTTTGATGAGTTGAAAATTATGGGGATTGTAGAGTGAAAATGAAACGTTCAAGTTCTTTCTTTCTTTGGATCATTTAACCTCTTCTGGTCTCATTTTTCTTTAAATGGCAACACACATTTACCGCCCCACTGCATAGGCTCTTGAGGAACTCATCCTGTGGACAAGGTACTTTAGCGGGCTGCATAGTTCTTTATAAACACATTTATTTTGTAGATATTTTTTTCTACACAGTTTATGTCACATTCTCTTTTGTTTCTCCACTGCCCTTTGTTCAAAGAACAATTGGGGTCCCCAGATTGCTGTTTTGGTTCCCCTCTTCCCCTGGGGGGTACTCTTCTTAGACCTTCCTTTCCTCAGTGCCTCTCCTCCGTGTGTTCTATCTAAACCTGAGCTCATCTGTAGGTGAACTGCCATTAGTTCAGCATCTCCCAGAGCTGAGCTGAGTAGACAGGCTCCGAGCCACCCTTCTGGGACAACACTTGCAGCTTGCTTGGAGCTGCTCATACTTTCTGTTGAAGTGGGTCGGTGTTTTTGTCAACTTAACATACGCTAGAGTTATATGAGAAGAGAAAACCTCAGCTGAGAAAATGCCCCCATCAGATTTTACCTGTAGGCAAACCTGTAGGGCGTTTTCTTGATTGATGATTGACGTGGAAGGGCCCAGGTCACTGGACATGGTACCACCCTGGGCAGGTCGTTCTGGATGCTGAAAGAAAGCATGCTGAACAAGCCGTGGGCAGTAGTCCAGTAAGCAGCACTCTTCTATGGCTTCTGCTTTAGCGCTTGCCTCTGGGTTCTTGCCTTGAGTTCCTGCCCTGACTTCCTCATTTATGGAGTGTGAACTGGGAATAATTGTAAGATGAATAAACCGTTCCTCCTCTAAGCTGCTCCTGCTCGTGGTGTGTATACCGTTTACAGCCGTAGAAACCTAACTAGGCTAGGGTCTTTGATACCAGTTTTTGTCCACTTCAAATTTCTTCTAGAGAATCCTGCAGGCGTCTGCCTTTCTACTATATTGCCAGGAATGAGTCTGTCAGGAGCTGTACTATCTTGGGTTCAGAGTGGGCTCCCCTGAAGATAAGCTCAGGATTTAGAGACATTTGCACCTAAGATGTTCTTCCAGAGGAGAGGTTGGAGTCTCTGCACACACGCAGAGGCACTGTTGTCAGAACTTTTGCTATAATGAGTGTCAGGATGCTAAGGTAAGACCTTTAGAGCCAGGTCATGCTTAGGAAATACATGATCAGAACAGCACAGAGGACCAGGTAGGGGTTTCTTTAAATAAATAAAGAGCAGGGCCTGCTGATAGCCTGTCAGTGAAACAGAGGGAAATGGCCAATGAGGAGAATTAGCTATTGTTGTCTGGGCAGAGGGACAAACCCAAGATGGGTGAGTGTTCATCTGAGGCTCAGCCATGGAAGACTAGACCACTGTTGTGTTCGAAGAAATAAGTGTGTCGGTGGCTGAGGACCGGAGATTGATTCCTGGCTTCCATAGTAAGGATCCAACTTGCAGCCAATGTAAGCAGAGACTGCTCTTTTGTTCCCCAGCTGCTGACACCTGAAAAATTACACAGAAACTATATTAATTACAACACCATTTGGCCAATGACTCTAGCATATTCCTAGATAGCTCTTACATCTTAAATTAACCCATTTCTATCAATCTGCGTATCACCACGAGGCTGTGGCCTACTAGTAAGTTTCCGGCAGGGGTCTTTCTCCTTCAGCAGCTACATGGCGTCTCCCTGACTCCATCGATTGTCTCTCTCTATCTCTGTTTGGAGTTCCTGCCTGGCTTTACTCTGCTAAACCCTTGGCCAGAACAGCTTTATTCAGTAGCCAATAAAAGCAACAAACACACAGAAGGACGTCCCGCATCAAGCCTGGAAAAGCATCCTGAGCGGAATGAACTGCTTGGTGGCCCAAAGGAAGGGTCACGGGGACACATTTCTCCATCATAGCTTTGGAGGGGAAACCTGCTTCAGGAGCTAGAGAAACAAGTCATGGAAAAATGTCCAAGTTCAGGACTTACAGAACTGTAGGAAAAGTCAACATAAAAACACAGCTCTCACCTAAGAGGGAACGAGAGATAAGTTTATTCTGGAGCCAAATGTGAGTGATCACGGCCCAGAAATATATATATAGCTTTAATGTAGAAATAGACTTACAGAACCACGGTTCCCGCGGAGACCAGGAAAGCAGAAGCAACGGCTGGGAGCACACTCGCCAAATTTATAGGCAAACATTAGCCCGAGGCGAACACGCCCCCTAAGGGGTGGGACTTATCCCTACATCTCCCTTTTTTGTCTAAATAAGACAGAACTAAACCAAATACAACTATATACAATAATAACAAATAATAAATATAACAAACAATATTGAGAACAAAAGTTTTGCTAAACATTCTATCTCAAGGAGTCTAAATAATGTAGAGAGTAACTCCAATTATATAATCTTCAACTCTGTCAAAGATCTGAGAAGGGAATAAATATTACTTAACAAACGAGATATATACAAAATGTGCAACAATTGACAGAGGCAATTGACTACCTGGGCAATCACCCAAAGTCTCGTTTGCAATGTTGAGTCAACCAACTTTGGCTAAGGCCTAACATAACTGACATACCATTATTAAAGGCAAGGAACTTTTCAAAACTATCTTACCCTGTCTTGGCAGGATATGACAGTCCTGTTTTATCCATTGATGCACGCTCTGTATCTCTGTCAGTGGTTGAGGTATGGGCATTTCTTTGCCCAAAGGCCAGTTCTGCCAAATAGAAAGGCTCCAGGTGGAGTGTCTTTGGTGCTCAACATTCTCTCGGGAATAGAGCGGTGTTGCCAGGAGCAATTGTGTCTCACTATCACAAAACTCTGAGTTAGATTAAAGGCCATTTTCTACAGCTCTTTGAAGAGGTCGAAGATTATCTATTTATACTGAGTATAATCTCTATATATCTAGAGAACCTGATTAGTCTAATTATAAATGACAAACTTAGATGACTATTTATCTATATAATTCTCAATATCTATCTAACTTAAAGACTAAGACAATAAACAACTGTGTAACAAATGAGGATAATGACCTCCAAATATAAACACTGTACAAATATACATTGCAATATGGTAAATATATATCAATACACAAACATTATATAAGTATCTTAATCAGAGGTAGAAATGTACACTGCAATATGGTAAATATATACAATATATATTTATCAATACAATATATGTCAATACATAAAAAATGTTTTAAACAGAGATAGAAACATGCATGCATACAATAGTCAATATAATTTAACTTTGTATCAATATACAAGAATTGATACCAATATATTTGTCTAAAAGCAGTAACTCACAATTATAAATCTATTATCCCATCATTTTCCCTTTTTTTTTCCAAAATGATCCCTGAGCTTATAAAATTCCTCCCCCAATCTCCCAACCCCTAAATGATGTCCCTAAACCCAGGGGTAAACTTTACTGGGAGAGAGGACGTCGTCCTCTAGAATTACTTCCAGCTGTCATGGGGACGACGT